TCACAGGGAGAAAGAAGTAAAGCAGAAACAAGCAGAAGATGCTGAGATGGTGTGTATCTTTTGAATGTTCTACAAGCATAAAAATAATTACAATACAAAAAAGTACTGTACTTTATCATGGGTAATAAGGATAGAAAAGGACTTGGCCCATACCAAAGCGCACCTGATGCTAAACTTATGTAGCTATGTTCTAATTAGAGGTGGTGCTAAATTTAAACATTCAAATAAGAGTAACTTGTCTCCTTTATCAAACCTTTTCACAAAAATGTGGGTTTTTTTGGGTTTTTGTCTGGAAAAGAGACCTTACGACAACAGGCTGAGAGCTATGGGACACTTCAGCCTGGAAAAGCACAGGCTCAGGGGTGATCTGATGGCCACCTATAAGTTTATCAGGGGTGTCCACCAGGATCTGGGGGAACGTTTGTTCACCAGAGTGCCCCAAGGGATGACAATGTCGAACCATTGTAAACTCCTACAATACCATTTCAGGCTGGACATAAGGAAGAATTTCTTTACTGTCCAAACCCACCAAGGTCTGGAATAGCCTGCCATCGGAGGTGGTTCAAGTACCTACTTTGAATGCCTTTAAGAGAAATTTGGATGTTTATCTTGCTGGGATCCTATGACCCCAGCTGACTTCCTGCCCCTGGGGCAGGACTCCATCTTCCGAGGTCCCTTCCAGCCCTAATATCTATGAAACAATTAAAATATCGACTCAGTTTTTATCACAGTGTATTGATACACGTACCTGATTGTTTGATGCTAAGTAACTCTTCTTTGAATATTCTAAAGCAGGGGTAGGCCACCTTTTTTGGCTGGGGTGCCAAAAACCCCCACAATGCCTACCTTGGAAGGTGCTGGAGTGCCGGCATGCCAGAAAAACAAAAAGGGCAGTGGGTACATGGCAGGATGCCCTGCTTGTGCCCTTGCTCCCACCCAAAGCCCCTTCCCTCCAGCCCAGGGTCTGTGGCTATCAGCAGCTACCCAGTACCTGGGCCAGCTGCAAACGACTGCTGCCTCCCTGCCCTGGCCCTCGGCTCTGGGGAGGCAGCAGGTGTTGGCGATGCTCCCTGCTGTGCTGCTGCTTCTGCAGAGCAGGGTTGGAACTCAGTGCAGCAGGGCACAGTGGGGGATACAGAAAGCTGCCTGCTGCCCTGCCCATGCTTCCTCTGCTGCAGGTAGGGGCAGCAGCAAGGGGTACAAAACAACCCTGTGTGCTGCCCACGCTGCTCCTATGCACATGGGAAGCATGACCTGGCAGCACGGAGCTTGCAGCAGCAGGCAGCTTCCCTGTGCGGCCCCTCTGCTGCTGCTGGTCACACATGCTGCAGTTCTGGCCCTGCTGCCCCTGCCTGCAGAGGAAGTGTGGCCAGGGCGGTGGGGAGCTTGGAGCGGCAGGCAGCTTTCTGCGCCCTCTGCTGTGCCAGGTTCCAATGCTGCCCTGCAGAAGTGGCAGCTGTGACGGCAGCACAGCAGGGAGCATTGCCAGCACCTGCTGCTTCCCTGGGGCTAGTGTGGGGAGGCAGCAGCTGTTTGCAGCTGGCTCAGGTTCTGGGTTGCTGCTGATAGCCTGGGCTGCTTGCAGCAGGGCTTTCATCCTCCCAGCCAGCTGCTGGGAGCAGTCCGGGCTCTGTGGCTATCAGCAGCTATACAGAGCCTGGGCTGGCTGCAGCCGGGAGGCTACAAATAGCTGTTGCCCTCCAGGCCCCGGTTGTTTTTGGGCTCCGGGAAGGCAGCGGGTACTGGCACATTGGGGCCAGGGTGGGGAGGCAGCAGCTGTTTTTGTAGCCTATAGCCTCCGGGCTGCAGCTGGCCCTAGCTCTGGGGTGGTTGCTGCCAGCCATGGTGCCTGGGTTGCTCTCAGCAGGGCTTGCAGCCTTCCAGCCACCTGCTGGGAGCAGCCCTGGCTCCTGGCTGGCAGCAGCTACCCAGAGCTGAGGCCAAAGCCGGCTGCAGCCGGGAGGCTGCAAACAGCTGCTGCCTCCCCATCCTGGCCCAAATGCCTGCTGAAGAAAATGGCCTTGTGTGCCATGCTTGGCACGTGTGCCAGGGGTCACAAAAAGGATTAAATTGTAATGGGTTTTGTTCTCCAGGGCTAGCTGCTGGATTAGGAGTTGGTGACTATCTCTTCTTTTCTGCATTTCCCTCGCTTTTTCTTTCTGGATAGTCGGGTCCCTGAACTCTTATGCAACATTTTCCTGGTATGGGAAAGGCTGGCAGCTACTGCAAAACAGTACAAGACTCATAAAAACTCAACTTCAAAAAAGGTCTAGGGTTGCACTGAATTTGGCCTTTTGACAATATTTCTGCTAAGATAGTTAATGGAAGACACCAACTTAAGGTTATGGGCAGACTTAAGATATGCTTTGTGATGCAATTAAAATAGATTTCCCCTTCCTTCTCATAGCTACCTCCTTCATTTCTTGCATTTAGAAATCTCTGGAAGAAAACACTGGATACTTGCTGAAATTTTCTGGTGACCTAGATGATCAAACTTGCAGAGAAGATCTTCATACAGTTTTTTCTGATCATGGAGAAATTAAATGGATAGACTTTGTCAGAGGAGCAAAGGAGGTCAGTAAATTAATACAGAATTGTGGTGGGCAGGAACAAGTATAATGACGGAAACCATATTAGATTAAGTACCCAATGACCATGTCTACATGAGACGCTTACTGCGCAGTAGCATCCTAGGGCACTAACCATGACCCGACGCTACTGCACAGTCAGCGTCACCCAGATGCCAGTTACTGCACGGTCACTTAGTACTTGGCTATGCAAGTACTAAATGACTGAGCAGTAACAACTGTGCAGTCAGTGCCTTGTGTAGACAGCCAATGTGTTGTGTTGTGTTCCATCAGCAACTTATCCAGATAAACTCAGTAGTACTTGAGAGCAACCAGTTTTGTTCCATTAGTTTTGTAAATAAAGGGTTATTTCTTATTTTTTTTAAGTGGGAGAAGTTCTCTCTTAATCTAAATATTTTTGTAGATCCACATAGCATAGTCTGGAGGAATCTGCATAAATTAAAAGTAAGTAAAGCTCTTGTATAATTGAGAGAGAGGGAGAAAAGAATTAATATGTGGTATAAACCATATTTGTGCTGTTTCAATCTGGTGCAGGATCAGCACAGAGTATCCTGCTTACACCTTCAGCTAGTGCTTTACTCACCAAGGGTGAAGTAGCTGTGCTGGTAGGGTAGAAACTGTTGCTGTGGAGGGGGTTTGAGTATGTTCACACTAAAGGTTTACAGGTGGAACTGGAGTCCTGGTTTTGCATTTAGAAATCTCTAGAAGAAAACACTGGATACTTGCTGAAATTTTCTGGTGACCTAGATGATCAAACTTGCAGAGAAGATCTAAACTCAAGCATGCAAACTTTCTGTTTTAGGGTATTATTCTATTTAAAGGTAATGCAAAAGAAGTCCTGGATAAAGCCACGGAAGCAAATGATGGGAACTTACAGCTACGTAAGAAGGATGTAAAATGGCAGGTGCTAGAAGGAGATACTGAGAGAGCAGCTTTGAAAAAAATCATGGAGGGCCAGCAAGAATCGTTAAACAAATGGAAAACAAAAGGTGACTTTTCTGCCTGATGTGGCTATGCTGTGAATTGACTTTCTTGGCAACTGCAGATTTAGGCAACATTATTTTCTTTCTTTTTTCCTTCCCCAAATGGCAAATGCACAGAAATGTATGAATTGCTACTTAGTGACTCAAGTGTTCTGAACTTGTCTGTATGTCATGACAGGTCGCAAATTTAAAGGTAAAGGAAGAGGAGGGAAGACAGCCCAAGGTGCACAGAACAAAGGGAAAGTGCAGTTCCAGGGAAAGAAGACAAAATTTGAGAGTGAGGATGAAGAGAGTGACAGTAATACAGAAACAGGTAAGATACTTCATGCCTGGGAGAAATAGCTCAAAACTTCCTACCAGGGTGCAGAGCTGTATTTAAAGAGAATCTGATTTTTGAATTGCCTAAGAACAAAGTAGTCAAGTTCTAACTAATGAAAAAAAACAGACAACTGTTCATATGCTTTGGGATGTTTGTCCTGGTCATGTTTCTTGCATGATACCTGTTGGAAACAAAGGATTAAACTGGTGTAAAGAACTTAGCCAGCCAAAACAGGGCACTCCAAAGAAATTTGTACTAAGGGATACTGAAGATTGCTATCAGAGGGAATAGCAAAAAGCGGTGCCAAATTAGACTGATTTTTTTTCCTAAATTACAATTTACTGGTCACGTGACTGCTGCTTATACTGTCTCCTGTGCGCGTTGCCAGTTTAGATGCGCTGTGCTCTCTTCTAACATTTTACAGCCCCCATGCCCACTTCACACTTTCTCCCCCCACTACATACTTTTTTCCTCTAGCTGAATAAACTTTCACACCTCCCTGCATTGATTTATGCATTCTGAGGACTTATTTCCAAGACTAGATGTCTCAAAGACTAGAGGCATTGTCGTAAATGGGTCTAAAGCAGGGGTATCAAATTTGCCCCTCTTTGTGGGCTGGATATGGACTGCGGCTGTGAGGGGGTGAGTAGCAGTAGCTGCAAGGGTTAACACTGCAGCAGTCACTCACCCTCTCACTGCTGACGTGTCTCCGGTGGGGGCTCTGTTCCACACCCAGGATTTTGAGGGAATTCCTGGTCTCTTTGAGATCTCTGGAGGCTGGATCCAGCTTGTAAGGTTTGACACCTTGTTTTAGGCAATCATTCACTGTTAAAGCAGGTACTGGATCATCTGGAATTGTTCTAGTATCTAGTGACAAAGCATTAAGTGAAGAAAGCGTGTACTTGCAGTAGCCTGAAGGACTGTACATCTTCAGCTGGGTAGGAATTGTGTTGAAAGTATCAAACAAAGGTCTTTCTAGTTCCTTAGTGTCTGTGTATATGAACACTTACAGGGCCAGCAAGTCCCAAAAAAAGACAATTAGAAGAGACTGAAAAAGAAGAACCTCCATCAAAACAACTGAAAACAGAGAATGGAGCCGAAGAACAGTAATATAAAAAGCATTGTTTTTATTACTCCATTTTAAATAGGTTTTAAGCCATTCCTCGGTTCAGAACTTTTCAAAAGAAAATCTAACAAAATCCACTTCAATGTCAACCTGCAATGAAAGGAAAGGTTTGTGTTTTGTTTGTTTGTTTTTCTTTTTTTATGTATTTTCAGACGCATGATTATTCTAACATGCCAGTCAGGATTTTTTTTAAATGTTTTGTTCATACTGTCAGAGCCTCTCAACATTTCTGGCACTTTGATTTAAAATGTAAGTGGAGGTTCTATCCTTGAACCAGACTTTGTAATTTTGAAGTTGTATTAAATAAGTCGCCAATAAACTTCAGCATTTAAGTTGGTACTTAACAGTTGGTGATTTTTAAACTTATGAAGATTTCTGTCCCAACTAACATATATGTGATTAGAAGGCTGACCATTTGACTTGGTGATTGAGGATAGCTTCAACACAATAAAACTCCTGTAGCCTCTCTCTACAGGGGAGAGGCTAGCTAGGTAAGAACTGATCAAACAGCCTGTTTAAGCTACAGTTGTAGGTGACTGGGCCTTTATCACTTATTCATCCAAGCCTTGTACTTTTTCTTCCTGTACAACTACTGCAAAATACCAGGCACCAACACAAGCTCTCTTAAATTAGGTCCTCATCTTGTTAATGACTAATAACCACCTATTCACCCTTTCTGGTATCCATTTTGTTTCTCTTGATTCCATTCAAAATGTTGGTCTAACCTAGGAGTAAGGAAAATATGGCCCAGATCAGACTTGCCACAGGATTTTATTCAGCCTGTGGTGGGTCCCTTGGTTGTGCCTGGCCCAGGCACAGTGGGAAGCCCGGGCTGTGATGTTTGCAGCTGGTCCCACTGCCCCTAAGCGTACAGTGGATTGGGGCACCACAGCAGCTGGACTTCCTGCTCCTGTGGCAGTCTCTGCTGCCACCAGGCCCAGTCCTACTGTCCAGGAGCCAGATGGAGCAGGTGGGCAGGGTCTCCATGGAGACTGGTCCAGGACCTCTGTGGGCAAAGCATGCTCAGCTGGGCAGATGAGATGGGACCGTGGGTGGACAGGGAGTGGCATCTAGAAATGAGACAAGTGACTGGGGCTGGGATCAGGATTGTGGGTCAGTGAGAGCTTGGGTACAGGGCCATGATTCACTGCCTGCATGTCCCTGCAATGGGTGCTGGTTTTGTGACAAGGGCATGCAGGGAATGGATTGCAGCTCTTGTTCCTGATACCGGCCCCGCCTGCCCACAGCCCCATCCCATCTGCCTGACTGAGTGTGTCCTGCTTGCATAGGCACCAGGCTGATCTCCATAGAGACCACAGGATTGTGGGGTGGTGACCGCATAGGACTTGGGACAGAGCCACAATCTGTTCTCAGACACCCGCTTCACAGGAAGGTGTGCGGGAAGTAGATTGCACACCCCAAGCCCCAGCCTCACATTGTCATGGCCCTGCAATCCTGGTCATGACCCCACCTGCCTGTCCTGTTGCTGGATGCCACAGTACACCTGCCCATGGCCTCATCCCATCCACCTGGCAGAGTGTGGGCAGAGCCACTTGCAGAGTTTTGATGAGCTGGGGTGAGGGGGGAGAAATGCAACAAACTGCTGACCCAGCCTGTGACAGTTCACCAAAACTCCTTAAGTGGCCCTCTGGCCCAAATAATTGCCTAGCCTTGGTCTAACCAGATCTTTGCTCCCCAAGGCCTACTTCCATACCTTTCACCGTGCAAAACACAAACTTTAGTCCCATACTCTTTTATACGTCCTTCCCATTGCTGCTTCTAGTACATCTGCTTTTCCTACAAGCAGTTTGGCTTTGTTCATCCTTGTGTTCAAGTGTGAAAGACTTTTAGATATGTCAAAGACATTATCCTATTATCCTGCTGTAAAATCTGGCCTCATTCTGAAGTCCTCTTTAGAAATCTGAATTAAATAGGGCAAGATTTCAACTTGGCCTCCTGCTACACGTTAAAAAAAATTTTGGTCTTTGCCAAATTTTAACATGCATCAAATACAATCAGTTAGTGAGTGATAAACATGTACCTGGCTATTTGTATCCACTTGCAGCACTGACTTCAGACTAAAGTGAGACACCTCAAGTACTGAGTAATATTCTACAGTATTCCAAAATAATTATCGTTATTAAATATCACCTAGGTCTTGCTGCCATAAAGCAGAATATAGCAAGCTTGATGCTGATAACTGAGTTAGCTTGGCAACAAGCGTGCAGACTAAGCTGAATATAACTACAGTTCACTATAGGGCAATTATTTTGGGTGGAGGGCCGCTTACCCAGTTTTGGCAAGCTGTCGAGGGCTGCATGTGTAGCCCTGCCCCTTGGTCACCATCCTGAGACCAACGTTCCAATGTCTTAGGACCAATGTCCCACGGCCAGCACCAGTGGAGCCCAGAGTGGGGTGCAGGCTGGCAGGAGTCTGTGGAGCTGGGCTGGGCTGCACCAGCAGGGAGAGGGGGGAGCTGGCCCGGTTCCATAGAGCCCTTGCCAGCCAGGACCCTGTACCCCTGCCGCCCTGCTCTGGGCTCTGCTGGTGCTAGCCCCGAGACACTGGTGTAGACCCCATGCTCCTGCACACTCCCAGTGCTCCCAGCCCCTCAATACAAGCAGGGGGGGGCAGCGTGCAGCCTCGACCCCCTGTTCCACGGCAGGTAATGAGCTGGTGCTGAGTGTGGGGAAAAAGTGGTCCCTTGCCTGCCCAGTGGCTGGCGCTCCCTGCTGAAGCCACTTGCAGCCCACTCAGGGCTATCCTGAGTAGGAGCAGACAGTCCCACGCAGGCTGTAAGCAGCTGCAGCACTGGGTGCTGGCCACGGGGCAGTCAAGGGGCTGTTCTCCCATGCTCAGCACCAGCTTGTAACCCACCCTGGCAGCCAACCTGGGCCCCGCGCCAGCACTGAGATCACCTGTTACAAGCTGGTGCTGAGCGCAGGAAAAGCAGCCCTTCGCCTGCCCCATGGCCAGCGCTGCAGCCGCTTGCAGCCTGCATGGGGCTGCCTCTACCTGATCAGGACAGCCCTGCGTGGGCTGCAAGTGGCTGCAGCAGGGAGCGCAAGCCATGGGGCAGGGGAGGAGCCGCTTTTCCCCAGGCTCCCTCCTTGCCCTTCCCCTCAACCCCTTACCTGAGTTTCTGGCTCTGTGCATTCATATGGTCCCAGGCCAGAAGCTCCCGCTGGGGCTTCCAGCTGGGCAGGCCCTGCTGTTTTGGGGAGCTTGCCGGGCTTCCCTTGGGTCCTGTTGCCCCTGGTTTCTGACATTTTTGACAGGAATCAAGGACAAATCAATGTTAATCTAAATTTTTAGGGGGCCTGTGGGCTGGACAGAATGGCCTTGCAGGCTGTGTTTTGCCCACCCCGCTATAGGGCTTAACACAGTGGGACTACAGCCTCAAGGGACTCCTGCAAAATAGAAAATACATTTTAAGGTGAAGTCTAAACTGGCTACATCTAAGACTATGGATTGTATTTAAAGTACTTGTCTAATACTGGCAAAAAGGGAAAAATACTTACTGATTTCTTCTTATGAAACTTGTATGATGCTGGTAAATCATATCTAAGTTCTGTGAATAGCAGAGAGAACAACTGTCACACCATGGCAACTTGGTAGATGTACACAATGCATCTGAGCTAACTTATGACAACACAGTACTATTATAATATACATACTGCTTTGTCTTGTTATATTTGCACCTAAGAGGAAGCTACTTACAGATAATTTACTTGGCACTCAAAAGTACTATAGCAAGGTGGGCAATTATTTCGGCTGGAGGGTTTTGTGAGCTGTGAGGGCCACAAGAGTAGTCGCCTGGTTGCCATCTTGGGATCAAAAGTCCCTCCCCTTGCCCCTGAGAGTACTTTTGGGAAAAGAGGTTTGCCACCTTGGAACTGGGGGAAAAAACAAAATCATATACTAAAACCCAAATATCTATTATAACCTTTTATTTCAAAAAATATTTTTATCCTTATTTACATGCGTTTGCATAGTGTATATAGAGGTGATCACAAAATAGATCAAAATAAAGTATATTGTGGGGTGTGGTTGGGTGGCTGGATGTATGTGTGGGATTTGTGGGGGTGTGATTGTGCATGGGGGGATTATGGGGGGTGCGCAGGACCTGCAAGCACGTGTGCACCCTGGGGTGATAGCCTTCCCTGGGTGCAGAGCAGGGCAGATGGGCCTGCTGAGCCATAGGGCTGTGGCTGCTGCTGGCAGTGGTTTGTAGCAACTGTGGCCCTAGTTACTGGAGCCATCTCTGTTTTCCAGCGCCCAGGCCTGCCACGTTCTCTGCCATTGCTATGGAAGTCAAAGGACTCCTGTGGCAGTGGTAGCTGCAGGGTCCAGGCTGGGGGATGCGGTATACGCGAGCTCCTGGAGCTGCTGCCTCCAAGCCCGAGGATTAGCTTGGCTTGCTGCGTGAGGGAGAAGGGATAGTTGCAAAGCAGCTGGCCTAGGAGAGGCCACATACACGTAAGCAAGCCAGCCCCCTGAGCTGCTCAGCACCCCTCCCCACCAGCCCATAGCCTGTGTGCCCTGTGGCTCCTTCCTGCTACTGCCCACAGCCCCAGCCCCAACCCTGACCTGCCCTGAGCCACAACTACTGTGGATTCACCCCAGCCAAAGCAGACCAGCTGGAACCTGTGCGCACAGCCCTGACCCCAACCTGCCCAGCGTCTGCTCCGCATTGCCCACCTGTGCTGAGTAGTGGCAGCAGCCGGGTAGAAGCTGTTGCTCGCACAGGGGAAAAGCAGCCCCTCCCCCACACCGCTGCTCGGCTGTTTGTGCTGCAGCTGCCCAGAGCCCGCACTTGGGCTGCTCTGCAGCTTCTCTCTGCTGCTGTCACTGCTGCCTTCTGGCTGCCCCGTGGGGCAGCAGTACAAACCAGTCTATTAGCAAGGCAGCCTGGGCGTGGGCTCCCTTTTCTGCTGAGCTAACAGCAGTTTCTGCCCAGCCACTGCTCAGCATGAACTGGGCTGTGCCCAGGGGTCCCTGTCAGTACCACAGGGCAGCGGCAGCCGGGAGGAGCTGCTGCCACCTGGGCTGCCTAGAAAGGCAGTACAGCGGTGGAGCCACCCCCAGCCTCATTGCATGTTCAAGGGGTAGCATGTGCCACAGGCTGGATGACACTTGGAGAGTCTCTGTCTTGCCCAGAGTTCCGCTTGGCCCACGGGCTGGATCTGGCCTGTGGGCCATATTTTGCCCTCCCCTGTATGATAGTATATTATGCTTTTGAAGGCTTATGAATAAGATGGCCATAAGGAAATATGGGACAGTGCCTCCCCTGGTCCAAGTCAGTAGTGCTGCTGTAGTCCTGCTGGACTGTGCCACGGCCCCCTGCAATTCTGGGACTTCTGTTTTAATTTGCACAGACAGAAGTGACAACTTTTGCCTGATCTAGTCACAGAAAGCAGTTTACATCCATAATCAAACACAAATGCTCGGCTGCAGACAGCTTAAAAATGGCCAGTCAGGTGAAAATCTTGAACCCTCATTGCATGAGGGGTCAGATGAAGACATGTTAAAACAGTGTCCTTCTGTAACTGTCTGTGTTGCATGCCAGCCTCAAGCTGTTTCCAGAATGGGAGAGGGAAAAGCAGTGAGAGGGAGTTTGGTTTGGAGGTTTTCAGCACATGCTGGAAGGTGGACTGGGTGTACTAGTCCCTCAACATGACTGGGTACCTCTAGAATGAGCTCCCTCTGCTCTCTTTTCTCCCTCCTATTTTGAAACAGGGACAGGCTAGAAGAGAGGAGGAACTGTTGCTAGGGGAAACTGGCTATAGACTCCCAGCCAGCATTCTGCTCCCCCCTGGAACCAACAGTGAACTTCTGTTTGCTCAGAGGGATCATTGTAACTCAGAACACTTCCTTTAAGGTGTTTTCAGTTACAGCAAGGAGATGCGCTTCTGTCTGCGCCCCAGTGACAGTAATTCAATGCTTCAGTTTTGCTTTAGAGGTCTGTTTCCTTTCTGGAAGAGAAAATTGCTTGTATAAACGGAAAGACAATTCATACAACTCTTGAGATTTTTGTAAAGAAAATGGTGGAGAGAGCTTGGGTTTGGTACAACTTCGCCTCTCACAAGTGTGCGCTGAGGACAAAGCTGAAAAAAACAAACCCAACAACCCTTTATATTTTGTTAACCTCTTGCTTGGTGGTGGGGAAAGTAAAATGTAATCCAAACAACCTGTCAATTAAAAAAAATATTCATCTTTAGTCTCAACGTTTTAAACTTTTGAGATGTGATCTTGTGGCTGCCTACAAATTCATTAAGGGGATGCAGCAAGGGAACGGAGATGCTCTGTTTACCAGGGCGCCTCTTGGGGTAACAAGGAACAATGGTCACAAACTGACAGAGAACAGATTTAGGCGAGATATCAGGAAAAACTTCTTCATGGTAAGGGTGGCCAAAATTTGGAATGGGCTTCCAAGGGAGGTGGTGCTCTCCCCTACCTTGGGGGTCTTTAAGAGAAGGCTGGATTAGGCATCTGGCTGGGGTCATCTGACCCCAGCACTCTTTCCTGCCTAGGCAGCGGTTGGACTTGATGATCTGTTGAGGTCCCTTCTGACCCTAGCATCTATGAATCTATGAACTATAGTTGTACACAGTGACTCCCAACCTTTTTTTGCTGTGACCCTAAATCTGGGTTGCGACCCCTGCTGCTGATTTACTCATGCCTAGTGGTGCCAGCAGTGCCTGGGCTGGGCTGAGATCACTGGGGGCAGTGGTGGCAAGAGCCATGCAGGCTGTGTGCTGGGAAAGCCCTGCAGGTGGGAGGGGCAGACCCCCTACGGCCCTGATTTGGGTTGTGCCTTGAGGTTGGGAGCCACTGGTTTTAACCTGTTCCTGAAGGCTATTAACCACAAACAAACTGCATTTGTTAGAAGTGGAAGATAGTCTTACCAGCTAGAACTTCCATCTTCACTTTCCATTCATCTGCTTTCTTTTGAACATGCTGCAACAAAAGTTTTGTGGACTCTTTTAGAACTGTTAAAACATTAACTTCGATGCTTGGGGGAAAAAATTCACTCCTGTACGAGTTGAAATACCAACTCTGACTGCTGCATTGCTGTATGCTTCAAGGCCAGTGTTGTTTGAAACTATAATTTATCTGTTGCTATTGCTCCCATTAAGAATGATAGCTTAAGTAATCTGAAGTTCTGTATTCAAAGTATGGATGGGAGGAGGTGTATTTCCCTGATTTGATTTTTTTT